TCTTAACTATAATAAAATTTAAAAATGTTATTTATATTTGAATATTTTTTTATTAATTTATGTTTTTAAAATATTTAATTATTTTTATTTCTATTTTTTTATGAATATATTTGTTAGAAAAAAGAATAACGTGTTTTTGGATAATACTTGAGTACATACGTGAAAGAAATTTCTCAAAATAACTAGAAATAATGTTTTATATTTTAAGATTCATTTAATAGTTTTATTTTTAATTATTGACATAAACTTTTTATGAATTCGGCAAATAAAAATGTTTTATATTTAAATAAAATATTAATTTTATTCCGAAAAAAGGAAAAAAACGTATTTGCGTAAACAATGAACTCTTGTCCCAGTAAGTCAAATTCTACTTGTGGCTTCTGCGTTTGTGCCTTGGAGGTATAACTCCAAATCGTCGTGTATTAACAGTCAAAGCACATGAACGGCCGACAATATGCCACGTCATCAGTGAGATACGTGGCTCCCGATGACGTTTTCTTTGTGGCTGCGTTGAGGTAAGGCGGCGTTCAAACGACACCGCATAACAAATAGGAAGGGCGTCTTGTGCGTGTATGGGATTGGGAACGATTCTGCCACAACACCCTCACCACCAACCCCATCTTCGTCAATTTTTACCTCGATTGGCCGATCAACCCCGAGGTAAGCCAATCAAGATCCAAACTTATGCTGGCTTGTCCATGAGATTGGGGCTGCGAGGAGATCTGACCTGGAAACAAGCCTCTGCAACTAATTCAATACTCAACGCCGGCAGCAGCAGATTTCAAGACCCGCGAAGGCCTTTCTGCATCAATACCTCAAAAATGGCGACGAAGAACGACGAATCGAAGGAATCGGTGGCAGCAACTGCGAAGAAGGATGGAGGAGGAGGGAAAGGCGAGAGGAAACTTTCTCTAGCGCCGGTACCTCCTCCTCCGGAGAAGCCTGAACCTGGGGATTGTTGCGGGAGCGGATGTGTGCGATGCGTGTGGGATGTGTATTACGAGGAGCTTGAGGCTTATAACAAGCTTTACAAATATGATTCAAACGACTCCAAATCCAAACCTTCTTGATTGAAGATTTTTCTATGATTGTTTGTTGTGTCGATCGTCTTCTTGCTCCATTTCATAAATTCCTGTATTTCGAAACGTTGCGTTTTTTGTTCTGTCATTGATTAACGAAATGTCAATCTACTAAATTAATTTTTATGGTGTGTGATATTGGAAAACTTAATCTGCTAAAGACAGCATCGTATTTAAAAAATTAATAGATAGATATGTTATATATATACACACCATTCACAAAATGGGCATTAGTCAAAATTATTAAGCTTCGTGTATAATTCAATCCATCAACACAATATAATGAACTAAAATTAAAAGAAGGCAACGAGAGTTCTTGCCAGTCAATATATTGCAATCCAAAAAAGCACATATGAGAAATGCCTATTTTTATAGGCCGTAATACTAGACAATATTGAAGTACAATCCGACCATTAATCCTTAATTATTATATTTGTTCTTCCATAATAATTAATTATAAACATCCATTCAAGCAAGACGAAGATCACTGCAACCAAATCCTCCGAGGTGAAGGTCATTTGGGTGGTGGTTATGGTGAAGACGAAATGCATGAAGGTTGGAAGCTCCATTAGCAAGTGCAATTGCAGATTCGTAATCCCTTTCATTCTCAATTAGTCCGTAATGTGGATCACCGTGATATCTCGTTTCCTTCATGTTAGAAAAGATAGAAAAAATAGAATCATGTGTATGCATGTTGATATAATAATAAATTGACTAAAATAATTTTTTTGATGAACCCTTACGAATTTAAGCAAGAGATTTCCATTTTGTTCCTCCAAGTTCCGAACCTTGAGTTACAAAGGAAAATTAGAAGAGAAAAAAAAAAAGAAAAAAGATCATTAACGAAATTTGAAATGAATTAATTTTAAATTTTTACAAGACTCTATAACTACACACATATATATATATATATTGCAAGTGGAGGAACAAACCTTTTTCTTATAAGTATCAGTCTGTGTTTTGATAGTATGAAACTGTGGACAACATAATTCACAAAAAAATTAATTTGGGATTCTAATAATGAATTTTATTATTTTAAAGTAAATCAATATCTAACTAAAAATCATTAAGGGAAATTAACTCATAACTTTCTGCATATATATATATATATATATATATTTACACTCACCCACACGCACACGTAATCTCTACAGCTATATTTAAGAACCCTTACAAAATATAAGCCAGAACATATAAATACTAATCTTAATTAAAGCTAGTGGCCCTTACAAAAATGAAAATCTCTTTATATTGAGTGGGGGGGGGGGGGGGGGGATAGAGTTAAGAACAAAAGATGATCTAAGACTGCATCTTCGTTTCGATCGCAGCTAAGCATTCACTTAAAGATTATTTGTATTGTCATACTCATTGTATGTATGTTACTAGAAATAAAGAAACAGATAAAAATAAAACCTTTCGTTCCCGTATGACCTCCAAAGCCGAGGCCATGTTTTGCTCAAGACCGCGCAGTTCTTCCACGCTAGCATCATGCAAGTCTTCCCCACTTCTTTGCCTTTAATTAAAACCATACATATACATACATAGTGTTTTGTTGTAATTAAAATCAATATAAATAAATATTATTACCCCAAAAAATATAATTAATTTTCAATTAAGCACCTAATCTCTCTCCTTAGCTTGTTATTGATTTCTCTCAGCTTCTTCAAGTTGTCTTGCATTTTCTGCAAAAGCCACCATATTTAACCCCCAAAAAAATACTAAGCTAATTAAAAATGACTAAAAGATCAATACAAAAATAAAACCTGGTAGTGGGTACTCCACAGATCAACTCCTAAAGTACTTTGGTATTGATCTATCATCTTCTTCGTCCTAACGTCGAAGAAAATCATCAGAAACTTCCATTTACCTAGCTAGGGTTATATATAAGCAGTATTATATATATATATATATGTGGAGAGAGAGAGAGAGAGAGAGAGAGAGGAGTAATATATAAATACGTGGCAGTAGGGCTGATGAACTCATGGAGCTTGCCGGTATTAGAGATCATGATGAGAGAAACCTTGGCATCGCAGAGAACAGTAAGTTCTTGGGCTTTCTTGAAGATGCCATTTCTGCGCTTGGAGTAAGTTACTTGCCTGTTCGTCGGGTTCTCTATCCTCTTGATTTCGATCTTCCCACGACCCATTTCACTTCTCTTCTCCTCGATTAATCAATTTGATGGATCTCCTATATTAGCCACTTACCTAGGTTTATATATTACAGCACTGTCGATACCCCAAAAAACGTAAAGAAGAAGAGGAAAAAAAATAATTGAGAGAAAGAAAAAGAGATTTTTGTGGAGGGTGAAAAAAGAAAGATATAGCTAGGTAGACTCCCGAGGTAATAAATATTGAAGATAGAAATAGAAGAAGGTTGTTTCTGTATATGGAAAAGGCCATGGAAAGTTGAATTGTTGTATAACTAAGAATGCATGTGATGTGTGTGTGTGTGTGTGTGTATATATATGTTGGTAACGTGTTGTGTTGGGAGAAAATGACAACTCAGTGAGGATGATTGAATGTTAACCCATCTTTTTTTGCCTAAACTTGTACTTGCAAAGTGGGTTGAATCTTTTAAGTATACCTAGAAGATTATATAGACAGCCTACTCAGGTACTCTTAATTGACTCCACACCAATTCATGCTAATTGTTTTGATTAAGGTGCATTCTAAATTGAAAATGACTTTTTCCTTTTGTTAGTCCTAAATTCCAGTCAATAAATTGGATTAGGCTCGACCAACATGCTTTATTGAACCAATTAAAAGATGGGTCTATTGGCATTGTTGGAACCGGTTAGAACTCATTAGATTTTGATCCAACTTAATCTAAGTTTAATTACGAAAATCTCTAAAATTAGTAACTAAATAATGAAAAATATAGTGCATTAGTTAGTATGAACTCGGTTTATTAAGTCCGGTGAGCCAAATTTGAGATTGCAAATTTGATCAATAAGAAGAATTAAGTAGCTTTTTTTAAAAAAATTATTATATTTAATCACTAGTTGAGACAATGGATGAATTCCATTGAGACAATGGATGAATTCCATTAACTCAGTTAATCTATATTTATTCGTATACTTGCACATAGCATACATAACAAAAAGTATAACATTAAAATAAAAAATTTAATTTGTTAATTGATTGTATAAGTTAATTAATAAATATGTAAATTTTACGCTAGACTCGTTTTGACAATATATTATTATTGTAAATTTAATATATACTATCTAGCCATGTATGTTTATACAATCTTTTATGAGGACATAATTGATATGCTAATTGAAAATATTTATTTATACAAAATATAATTTTTTGTAATTAATTGACTATTTAAATTTTAGTCATATCTTCTACTCTCATCTAAAAATAGTTACCACTCTAAATAGCAATTTTATAATTTTAAATATAAATCATTGAACTCAATGATGCATTTAATAGTAAATTTTTATGTTAATTTATTAAATGTATATTATTTTAAATTTCCAAAGACCATCCACGGTTCTATGGTGTAGTGGTTAGCACTCTGGACTTTGAATCCAGCGACCTGGGTTCGACTCCCGGTAGGACCTGAAAGAAGTTTTTATAATATACTAAGTTAGTTTTTGGGCCCAAGTGTATTTTTCAGATTTTCTGGTGGGCCTAAATAAAAAATAAGGTAATTTCACAAGAACAGTTGGGCCGTGTTGCAATTTTAATATATATTTTTTTAAAAAAAATCCTTACAGCAGTTGACCGGGTAATCGTGCGAGCCATAAACTCGAACCAAACACAACGGTAGAAGAAGGAACGATAAAGAATCGAGCCTCTATAGATTCGGAGACCATTTTTGGGCTGAAGGTTCTGATCGCAGAACTAGCATTGAGACGGAGATGGGCGGCACTCGGTTGAGAGTTAATGGCGGAGTTTTGGCGGTTAGCATCCTGCTGCTAATGCAGTTGCCGGAAACATCCGTAGCCACCAATTCAGCTTCCGCCTTCGTACAAAATGCTATCTTCTCCAACAAGATCGTCATCTTCTCCAAATCCTACTGCCCGTAAGCTCCCTCTCCCTTTGTCTCTCTCTCAATGGACTTGGGATTTTAGATTTTTGTTTTGCATAATCAATTGATATTGTTTATTGAAAATTTGATATTAACAAGAGGCGGGGTTTGGTCGAATGGAATTAGGGTTCACTAGTTACTGTGAAATTCATGGCGTATGTTTTGAGTTCTAACTCAGTTAGTACATATACTTCCTTGGTAATTTTTATTATTATAATTGGTAGAAATGGTTTAATTTTTGTTTTCTTTTTCCCCAATATTTAAACAAAAGACATTTAGGACTGCAACGGAATTTATGTATATATACGGTTGGAATTTGATATCAGATTCTGATTAACTCCTTACCGGAGGGCATTTGCATACACAAAAAAAAGATGTCCTATAGGATACCAGTTATGAGAGAATGAGATCAATGGACTACATGAAAAACAAGTTTAGTGATGCTTCTTTGCAGATAATATCTGATATAGGACTTCGAGTGGCTAAATCGTAATTCTTATCTTTCAGAAGTTGTGTTACTAGATGATCATGGCGTGCCTGTGTCTATCTATATATTTTTGTGGTTCTGAAGATGAAATGCTAGAGCGAAAATATACAATACAGACTCCTTTAAGAAAAAATAGGTAAAGTAAGAAAATGGGGATGCTTGTCAATAAGGACATCTGAACTCCTTATATATATATATATATATACACGGGAAACAATACTTAGCCTAGTCATTTTTGTTATTTAAAGTTGATTTCACCCGTAAGCTGTTTGCTTCTGTCAACTTATGCATACGCAGCACTGTTTCTTTTACTGGAATCTAATGCCTCGGTACTGATTTTATGTTGTCTATTTCACATGATTGCTTTGCACTATCAGCAACAGAAGAAAAATAGTGTAAACAAATAAAGAATTAATCCAAGTTGGTGAAACTTCTTGCCAGATTAAATAGAAACCTTTAACAGCCTGTTTGATTCTGTTATAAAAAAATTATTTGATTTAATTTAATTTAGTTCTTATTCCTTTATGGTTCAAGTAATTGGGTTGTATGTAAAATCTAATTGTGTGAGTGAGGAAAAGGATGCTTATCGCTAAAGGATTTGTGGATAGTTTTGGATGAAAATACTTAACATACAGACATCCGACGCTATATCCTTTTTCACAAAAACAAAACATTTTAACCCTATATATTTGCATACTTTTAACTCTGGGAAGAGAGGTAGAGGAAAACTAAATGGTGATCTGGTTGATAGAAGGTTATTTCAAGTGATCATAGTTGGACTCATATGTATATATTTCCTAGCACACATTGCTTTGTTATATTTACAAGAGTATCCAGGCAGCTTATGTTTTATCTGCTTGCTCTTTATTAGATATTGCTTGCGTGCCAAGCATATATTCGGTGAACTACATGAGAAACCTTTTGTGGTGGAGCTTGATCTTAGAGGTAATTATTCGTTGTTGTTGCCAACACTAGCTGCTATCTCTACTCTTTCTATCCCTTCTTGTTTTGAGGAACCACTGGTTGCTATGTCTACATACCAGAAGAACTGCTTTTGAAAAAGGTTTTTCCTTGAACGTTTACAGATGATGGATATCAAATTCAATATGTTCTTCTGGAATTGGTAGGCCGCCGCACTGTTCCACAAGTATTTGTGAATGGCAAGCATATTGGTGGCTCGGATGGTTATCTCTCTTCTCTTGAAATCTCATTCTTGCAAGCATTTAGATACAAGTCATTTTGTTTTGCCACCTTTTTTCTATGTACTTAACCAACTGTTTTGTTATTCAGATCTCAAAGCAGCCGTGGTGAGTGGTCAATTGCAGAAGCTTCTTAGTGCAAATTGATTTTAAATTACGCAATGAAGAAAAGAACTTGTCTGATTGGAGACTTTGAACGAGTGTTATAGGAATCATTATGAACCTATGATTACAGCAAACGAGATTGATGTAATAGGGCCAAAATCATGTGACATGATGTTAATTACACTAATTGTAATGGAAATTATGATTTGAGGCACAATATTTGTCTGGTTGTTGGGTATGAAATTTTGTTTGATTGAATTTTCTATGCAATGTAGATTTGCTTACTAGATTGTTGTACAGTTTTGGCTTGTAAGCAGAATGGAAATAAAGTTTTCCCCTTCTCTTCTGGGATTTGCTATCAAAATCTTTGTTTGTCGAAATGCACAGTCCTAATCCTTGAAGGACATCAGATTGGAACTAGTCATTACAGGTGTCATTGGTGCAAGAAAACACGGTTGAATATTACATTTTCCCATTACTTTTATTTTTCTAGATGTCTCATGATCAGATTGCTTCTTCATGTTGTTTAGGTTTTATCATGAAAATCCACAGGTTTAGCACAAGAAGGATATTTACATCCAAAGAGGAATTCTGCTGTCAGTAACAAGATCAAGATTCAATCTGAAGAGGAATTCTGGATAAAAGAATCTGTAGTCTTATCAAGGTTGAAAAATTGTGCCATTAAGCAGCGTTTTACATAACTTCTCTATAATTTATCTATTCCTCAGAGTTCTACATGTAACGTAAATAACAAGTTATAACAATGACATATATCTTACATCAAATCATATGCTACACTACTAATCAGTGCCAAGCTATATAGACGGTTGAGAAGCTGCAGGTACTTGATCTTCCTCCTGATTAGGAAGAAACTTCATATGTATCCGGCCTCCAGTTTCCTTTCTGAGCACTGAGTATCCCTTCTTGGTTCTTGGAGAAAGTTAAATGAACTTCCCAGAACAGAGACTTCAACAGATTCTCAACTTCCCTGATTGTGTTAGATTCATCGCGGACTATCAATTTACCTCCAGGTCTGACTATTCTATCAACCTCTGCTATTACAGGAACAAGCTGGCACCTGGTAAACCAAAACAGCTCCAATTGATCATCAAGGTTTGCAAGTGAAAATAGAAAATGAGGGCAGCAAAGTTCTAATCCTTTATACCTTGTCTTTAACGTAGAGAAAAGATGATCAGCATGCAGGAGATCATAGGAGCGAGGGTATGTGCTGAAAGATTCACACCAATCATGGTATATCCCGAAGAGACCTCGCTCGTAGATTATTGGAAGTGTGTCCGGAGCATTTATGTTGACAACGTTCAGCACCCAGACAGGAAGGTCCTTGAGAGCTGCTGCAAACCTGCATTCATTTGGTATATTTTATCTCATTATTTTGCTGATTGTTTCAGAGTTTCATCTTTCGGATGCGTACTTAGCAGTATCAGTAAACTAACAGAAATAATGATGAAATAAAGTATCTATCTTTTTCCTTACCCTCCATAAACAGCTCTCATGTCCATTATATTTCTGACATTGGACCAGCTGATTCCTAATTCATTCATGTATACCTTGGTCACTACTTGTTTCCAGTGTTCATAATCTGCTAAGAAATCTTGAGGAGCTGGTTTCCCATAAATTCCCATTTGAGAGCTGTTTACCCAATAAGGAGGTGTCTCTAACCGATGAGGCCACTCTTCTGGCCATTTGGTTCCTCTCTCAGTTGGATTAGTAGGCACTCTGTGCATACATGCTTGCAGTGGTACATACCTGAAAATACAGTATGCTATTATGAGTTTTCTCTATTCAGCAAAAACAACTATAGCGTCCCCATCAGCTCTATTCATGAACAAAGCTATGGAAACTTGAAAAATCATACCATGCAGCATTAGGGTCATCGTCATTTTTACACATGGGAGGTTGGTTCTGTTCTCTTTTATCATAGCAGTCATTGGTGGTTGGTTTACGGTAAATAGCAGCACCGATGCCATTGAGCTTATCCTTTGTGATTGTTACAAGTTCCCAACACATGGATTTTGTCAATGCAGACATTGCTAGGAAAAAAATGGTATTTGACCATTAGTCTCGAAGCTCAAATACTTAATAAACTATATTTCAAACTTGATCATGTTTCTAGTAATCTTACCCTTCCAGATTTCCACATCTTCTTCCAGCTGCTGGTACACTGGAGTAGCAGACCAGACAAAGTAACCTCCAGGTCTCAGAACTCTGTTAAGCTCCAAAAGAAGCAGACCCCCTATGAACAATTTCTTCATCAGACTTGAACATAACGAGTAAGTTCTAATACTAAGACTATATAGATATTATGTAAGGACCTTCGTTGTGCCAGGGAACTCTGCAACGTGCACAGTGGAGGAGATCAAAGACTCTGGCTGGAAATGGCAGGCGCTTAGAACCCATTACAGCTGATATTGCAGGAATTCCTCTTTCCAGGGCAAATTGAACCTGAGCCTCATGCTCATCTTTTGGTGCAAAAGACATTGTCAGGACATTCCTTTCAAACAGGTAACCTCCAAAACTTGCCACCCCACACCCAACATCCAATATTGATCGCGTATGTTTTCCCCATTTAATTGCCGGTACCGACTGTAACCAAGTATTTTTATAATATTTTTTTCACGGTAAAAAAAAAACTTACTGTTTATTTACTATAATATTTTTCAATATGTAAATATTTACCTGCTGAATGTAATCAATGTAGTGGAGAGCGCCATGTATGAACTGGGTACCACCACCAGGAAAAGTCAAAAACTCTCCCGTTACTTTTACCCAGTTTTGATGACCTTTCACCTCTGCTAGTTTCGTGTGTGGCACATTATGATACCATATCTGAATAAAAAAAAAAACAAAAGTTACACCGTTAGATCAAATTCAACACCCCATATCAAACGGTTGAAATTCAATCAATACCTTATCTCTGCTTTTAGGCCATTGGATTGACCACTTGTACCCTTCCGGTAGTGGGACCAAGCACGTGGGTGGATCCTCAGGGCAATGTCTCTCACGGTGCTCGAAATGCCCAGTGGTTTTCAGAAGTCTTAACGCTTTGACGTTATCCAAACAGGGAATATAATCGGGGCCCGCTGTTACGTTACAAAGACGCCACGTGTAACCGTTGACATTTTCCGTCGACTCGTCTATCTGTCTCGCTTTCTCGTTCTTTGACTGAGCTGCTTGCGTCTTCCATGACTTCTTTGACTCCGCTGACTCTTTAGGTATTCCCGAATTCCCTGCCCCCGGGAAACTCCCAGTGTTCGACGCAGTCGATGCTTGTTTGGGTTGTTGAGTCGACTCGCTCTTATTCTGCTGATCAGTGTCTTGTTTCTGTTCTGTAGTTTTCTGAGTTTGCTGCGGGTGCGACGCATCCGTCCCTGTCACCTCGTTGAAGAAACCACTCTCCGGCGGCTGTTGCTGTTTCGTCGCGTCGTTGAAAGTGACCTCTGGATCATTTCCTGTCTGTTTTTGCTCCTGCTGCTGCTGTTTTTGTTCTTCTTGCTTCTTTGAATCCTGGTTGGATCCGCCATTTTGATTTTCTTGTGTACTTTTCTGGTCGCCGGAGTCTTCTTCTCGTTGCTCTCGCTGCTCCGTCTCGAACTCCTTCAGAGTTTCCGTGTTCTCAGTTGGGTTTTCATTTGATTTCTGCGTCTGTGATTCCTGTGAACTCTCTGTTCCTTTACCAGATTTTCCGTCTTGATCGCCATTGTCATCACCTTCCTCGCTGCCTGTGCTTTGCTGTTTATTATCATTATTATTGTCGTTATTATTATTATTATTATTGTTATTATTATCAGTTTCACCAGAATCAGTCGTCTGTTGATTATTTTGCTCTTCTTGTTGATTTTGACTCATCGCAATCTCATTTATCTGGGTTTCGATCTGTCTAATTCTCTCCTTCTCTTGATCATCATCCGCACCCTGTTGAGTATTATCCTGATCAACACCTGAGATCACCTCCTGTTCCTTATTATTCGTCTTCTCTTTCCCGGGCTCGTCGGATTTAATGGCGTCGTCGGGAAGATGACCTGGATTGTCCTCAAACGCCGGCTGATCTTTACTCTCTCGCTCCTTCGAAGAAGACTCTTCCACGACATTATTTTGTTTCGTGATGGGTTCTGTATTGGATGTATCCAAGAAATCAACATTGCCGTTCGCATCACCGCCGCCGGCAGTACTCTTGGCAGCTCGATCGGTTGTTTGCGGCGGCACGACGGAGTTGGAAGTGAGCATCCATACGCCTAAAACGCATAGTGCTACGAAGACGACGGTGGTTACCGTTGAGGTGTGGGAACCAGAGGAAGTACGCTTACTGCTGCGAGACCTGCCAATCGCCATGTTTTTTGAACAGAGAGTTGGAGAGGGAAAGATGGGAATGGAGAAATTAAGGAAGAAGAAAATACATGAGAGAAGAAGATAAAAAGAAGGGAAAGGAGGAAAAAGAAATATGAAGACGAGGAGGGAATTAAGCTGTGTTTGTGGAGGAAGATGAAGAGAAAACCAGTAAACAAGAGAGGAAGGGAACGAAAGAAAGAATTTTTCCAAGTTGGAATCCATCAAAGATGGATCCGAATGACTCGGAGAAGGAAATTTGTTTGGGCTTCTCTTTATATCTTTTATCTAAAAGAAGTTTTTTTTGAGAAAATGAAAAATATCATACGAAAATATATGACAGATGTATATATATATATATATGTGTATATTTAAGGTTAAGATATAACATAAGTAATTCCTGCATGATATATATTATGGGTCATGAACGTATATATTTAAAAACATTTGGGCTAAAATGTAGTGCAGCTTTAAACCTAATGTGTAATAAACATTTGGGCCAACAGCCCACTTTTAAACTCTATGAAAATCAAAATTCCAATCTTACCTGAATTGATTGTTTCATGCCTTCTCTATATTTTTTTTAAAAATTTTACTTTAATCTCTTCATATTAGTAATTAATTTAAATATTACGTGTCAAATTATTGATACATAATATCTACTAATTGATTAAGAGGGAAATTAAAAAGGAATATGATATTTGAACCTAAAAAAACACCCATTGAGGCTATTATAAATTTAGTTTAAAAAAATTACTCTTTTAAAAAATATTAAAATGACTTAATTTGTTATGAAATATTTTTTTATTTAAAATATAATAAATTTATTAAAATTTATCTATTTTTTCGTTTTAAATTTATATTTGATATAACATATAATATTGTATACACTTAATAGTATATGGACTTATCAAATTTATTTCGTAGATTTAGATAATATTTATTATATATTACCAAACTAATCTTTTAATTTTATATATATATATATATATAAAATGTTCCCACAATAGAAGAATGCCCAACATTAGGGCATGTTTGGATCCCATTTTGGGGGAAACAAAGGAGAATGAGGACAACAAAAGATAATGCAATGCCTGCCATTTCCAAATCCTAAATCCTTTAGAAGGATATACAAACACAGCCTCTGCCATGTTTGTTTTCAAGTGATTTTTGGTTTTATTTTTCTTACATAATTATTATACACGTTAATATTATTTTTTTAAGTAAAAGTCAAAACTTAAGCTTGTAGTTTGTATTAAAATATTTTGAAATTTAAATCTTTATTTTAAATAAATTAGAACTCAAATAGTCGTGTACGATGAATAATAAATTTTATTTTATTAATGAACTGTTTTATGATATTTTTATATAAATCTTATTTTATCGTGTAAAAATTTTATTTCCCAAAAAAAAAAAAAAAAAGAAAAAGTGACTTATTTTGCACAAAATTATTATTATGTTCCTATTTAGTATGAATTCATTCTATTTCTAATTATTTAATATGTATAATTTAGCAATAATTGATATATTCTACACATTATTAAATTAAATTTATTTATATTTTTAAATTTAAAATTTTAAAATTAATTTACAATTACAATATCAGTTGTTATACAAATTCTCGTTATATTAATATAGTATTACTATTTATATTTTATTTTAAAATCTGAATAAAATTTAAATAATTTTTTAGTTGTAAAATATTTCCAGCTATTGCTTTTCTATCAAATCCGTCATAGTCCAATAAAAAGTATAAGAAGTTCAATCAACTTTCCAAAAATAATTTTATTTTAAAATTATTTTCAACTTAATTATTACTCATTTGAATAATAAAATAAAAATGACATCTAATTATACTTATAATTTTTAAGCTAATTTATGGTAAATAAATATTGGATCCGTAATTTAATTAAACACTCAATAATACTGGTTTAAATTATTGTTTATCAATAATTTATTTAATGATAAACAATGTAAGGAAATTCAATGGACACTGCAAATTACAGACTGGGAATGTTAAGGAAAATCTTATTTTCCATTTTGCAGCTTTTCCTTGTTTCTAGATTATGAAGTCAAATGGCGATGATGGCAACCTCGTGCTGTGCTCTCTCTCTCTCTCTGTAAATATATTGAGTGTATAGAAAAATTGTACAAGATAAATTATTTAATGTTGATGAGATAATATCTTTATTACCTATTTGGAGCATAAAATTATATAAACAAATGTTAAATTAAATGTTTATTAATAATATGATAATTTTTACTATTGAATAGAAGATTATTGTAATAAATTTTGGAATAAGTTATTGTTAATTGTTAATTAATTAACAGATGATAATTTTATCATTAAGTAGTAATAATATTATAATTATTAAGGGATAATTTATTATTGATTATTATAAATTAATTTAATAATTTTATAGTTATTTGATATATTAAATTAGTAATTAGTTAATTAATAATATTTATGTAATTTGTTTCTTATTTATATTTTTTTTCAATTTAAATAAATTACGAAGATATCAAAGTAATTTTTTCATCAAGTACAATGTCATTGTTATAATTGGAATATATCAAAAGTGGATTTAATAATTAGATAAATAAGTAAATTTATAACGTTCGACACAATTGGGAGATTTTCATTCAAATTTAAAAAATGAGTGAGGTTTTTTTTTATATATATATAATTTATCTCTGTATATTATTTTTTTTTAAAAAAAATTATTAAACTATTAATTGTTAGTTTTATTTTATCTGTTATATTATTTTAACAGTTCAAAAACACATACATATTATATATCCAGTTACATATAGGATATATCTGTTATTATTAAATAATTAAAATAAAGTGAATTCAAACTATAGAAGTAGTTTACTATTTCAAAATCATATGTAAAAGTCCTGAGTATCATACGGCATTAGCCATTTGAATCCAATTCTTCTGTTTTATGATAATCAAACCCGAACTTTTACGAGAAAAGTAAAACATATAAAAATTAATTCTCATTTCACGAGAGATCCCTTAACTTCGAGAGTGGTAAAATTTCTCCCCGATCAAGTTTGCTCGTCATATTCGTTATAGAAATCTTTATCGTCTGATGTGTTTTTACCTTTACCATCTAATCCATTGATTATGGTAGATATGCATATTTCATCTGGATTGAGAGTATTAAGTTGGCTGAGTTAGACTTAATATATAAAGCCTGGTAAAAAGACAGAACTCTCTCAGTAAAGAAAAAAAAAAAACAGACATCTCTCTCTCTCTCTCTCTCTCTCTCTCTCTCTCAGTTTTCTGGTTCTTTCTTCTTTGTTGCTCGGATTCAATAGTTATTACAAGTCTTGTAACAAAATTATAAGTATTATATGTATATGTGTGTGCATATATATGGTAGAGCTTTATGCAGACATGATGCAAAACAATAATACATTTAATTACACATTCAGGTCTAACACACATTAAGGAGATAGAGGGAGAGAAGGCTTTTGGGATCGGGGACCACATGAATTATGGGCGGCAGCAGCAGCAGCAGCAGCAGCTACATTATGGTGCACTAGATTCCTGTGTCTCTGCTACTAGCTATATATATCAGTAGCTAGGTTATTTATATACATAACAACAACATATATAGCTAGGTTATAAGTAGTACCTTCAACACGCCATACCCTATTTACATATATATATATTCTCTCCCCAAGTTCCATAACCAACCCTACTTCTCTTTTTACTCCTTTTCCCTCTGCCCTAGCTTACAAGGAAAGTCTATTTTCATCCCCCTTACCCCCCACCTTCCCCCCTTCAATCATTCATCTCTCTATGCATTTACTCCCACGTATATAATCATTTCAAGCATATTTATACTATGCAATATTCAGTCTCTGACTGTATATAATATTCTTCTTAATATTATACTGCAGTTTATTAAGAAGAAATTAATTCCCCAGATGGCTTTATGTACATTAATTTATATCAATATTTGATCAATACAAGCTTATTAGCTTAGCAGCCATCTCCATATTCACACATATAAATATAAATATGTATATAATAGATAATACATATCCGCTAAAATAACTGATCACATACACCCAGTACACTCATATTATTTTTTCGCCCATATCTACATATACTTATTATTAACTGACAGAAACCCACCAGCAAATAAACAATACACACAGAAACACGTGACTTTTATAGCTAGGTTCTGTATGCCTAAGTCCCAAAAGAACGAATTCTATGTACCCATATATATATATATATACACACACACATGTATATATTAACACATAAATATTCTCAAGTTCATAGAAAAACATTAAGTGAAGCTGGGGGAGAAGTACTGAAAGAGTTGATGCATGAAATGTCTTCAGCAAAGCAAAATGGAGACGTTTGATTTTCAGAAAACATGCAGCAAGAAGTACAGCCAGACAATATGGAAGGCAGTAGATATTAAGGTGGGTATATATACATATATAATCTGCTTTCTGATCTTATAATTAAACATTATTATAATATATTTGCACCACATGCACATGACATACTCTTGCTGTCAATTACTTTATTCATAAACAAATAATTAATTGAATTTAGTTATTAAGAATATATGTACACAAAAATCTTACTGAAAAAAGGAACCCGAACAGTATAGATCAACAGAAAATTATCCACAATTATCATTAGGGTTTTGCGCTCAAAGATCTAAATAATGGGTTCGTAATTTAAGTACTGTAAGCATATATATATATATATATATTATGGTGAAAGTTTGATTTTAAACCAAGTTACCCAATTAAACTTGGTCCTTGGTCACTATTAGGTTCCTTTTTTAATACAAATCTCGAAATTTGTTTTTAAGTTGGAACCCAGATTAAAAAGACATATATGTATATATATATTTTATATATAACTGTTGCTAGACAAAAAGAATGTGGAAGCTGGAGGAATATATATATATATATATATATATATAAATATATATTCCCAGAGCAAAGCATGAGTTTCCTGCAGAATTGCAGAAGTGATATAACGAAAAACCACTCTTCCCACTTTCTGTTTACTCAACATGAGAATCCGAGAAAGGTAAATAAAGCAGTCTTTTGATCAGAAGGAAAATATCCAATAACATTTTTATACATATGTATATATATACATATATAATAATTCTACATATGAAATTTCAAATCTCTGGGAAAGTAGTATGTATATATCAATGATTTCCTTTAGGAAAAGGTACATGGATGAGTCTTTTCTCTACTGCATTACTTGTTTCTGTTAAACCTGAACATGTCACTGTGAAGAAAAACTAAATCCACCATGTGTGTGATTTATGTTACTCATGAATTGTAAAATCCCACAAGTTTTTTCTGCTTTTCTTGGGGGTTGAGTTGCAGAAGAAAAAAATGAAGGTAATCATTGAAAGAAAGAAAGAATGAAAGAATGAGTGAGTACTGAATAGGTAAATAATTTCTAAAAAATGAAAGCTAGTAGCTTAAGCAATCAAGATTGAAGGACAAAAAAGGAACATCAACAGAGAAAGTCCAGAAAATAAAATATATAATGATAAACAAGTATAATATATATAGATTACTTTATGCATGTGCAAGTACCAGACAAATATAACATCAAATCTAAGGTTCCTCAAACAAGAATTAATAGAAATTTATGCCATATTCTGCCAGGATTAACAGGTAATGAATTAGCTTTATGAGTATAATCCACATGGATAAATACATATATATATATATATATGCATGCTATATATGAGTATATCCTTGGTCAGTCTTTCCTACAAGAGTGTACTTGATTCACACATGCATGTAGCTAATTAACCAAATAATCAACATGTATATATATATATATATACACATACGTACAAGAGATAATGGAGGTATACACAAAACATACATATATTCATTTATATGGAGAGACATGAATCGAAGAGATTTGAAAGGAGTCGAATATATATAAGAAAAAGCATATATAAGAATAAATATCAAAATAATTGCAGTATGGACATACTTACCCACAACTTCAATTCATTACTGAGAATATCAAATATGCTTCTATTGATCTTTCATCTTTCCTTCAATTCTTTTCCCCATTTAGCCTTGACTGATATGGACAAGGGAGATATATGAATATACAAGTATGTTTGTATATATTGGCCTTGGTTTCTAATATTAAATATATATATATATATATCTACATTTGTCTGTATATATGTAGATAAACCCAAAAAAGAAATAAGTTCCAAATAAGGTTTTCATCATCAGAAATACAGGAACATGTCTGCCTACTTTTATGAAAATAGAATTATTGACTCTACCTCCATTATAAACCTGATCCCCAGATTATGGGTTATCTAAAGTAGAAACACAAAAATACATGCACAAAACACAATTAATTCGTTTCACACATACATATGCATATATTTATATATACATATATGCATATGCTTGCCCATATATATATATATATATATATATATATATGCACAGTCAACATGATGAAATTCATATACAATATAACAGACTTAATTTATAATATTAGACAATTATTTCTAGGTCTGCAAGTATCAGTATTTATATAAAATGCAACCTTAATAAATTCTATCATCTAGATTTCTGATCTCAACCCTGCCAATGATTTATAAATATATACAATGTTATAATACATATTTCAGAAGTTCTCCATTGAAAGTTACTGCATGGAGAAAATAAAATATACATATATATAGATACATACATGTATTATAAGCTGCTCTTGCATTACTGCACCAAGCAAGGGATATGAGTTTATAAGTTGCTAATATATAGACAAATTGGTTTATTTTCTATCAGTTTAAGTTTTCAGTAAATTCAATTCAATTCCACTCTAAAAAACAATCATTATTAACCAATAATTTCTTTCGTAACAAAATTGTATATAACGAGCCAATTTCACAAGAAAAAATCCCAAGGTTAAATCCCAACAAGCCAAAAAAGAAATCAACACATCTTACAAAATTTATTTACTCATAGATAATAAACATGCAGTACAGCAATACACTACAGCACCAAGATGAAGACATAGAAGTTAGTCAACTACACAAATTCTTGACGAGAATACATATAACACAATCTCTTAACAGCAACACACGAGCCATCGACCTACAACTCGGAGTCATGCTAATAAATGGTTGATACCTTTTTTTTTAATTATATTGTAAGTAAATTATATACATACATAAAATTAAGGGAAGCATTATTAGAAGAATACATATATAATATCTCATCTTGGTTTTGAAGCTCCTTGTTTTTCAATAATTTCCCAGAGAAACATATATATAAAAGATCCATTGACTTCTACTATGAATTAGTATACCAGTGATTAACAACAAGAACGAGAACACAGTTGGTCTCCTCATTTGTCGCCATCAACTTAATTAGATATAACTATCAGAAGTGCATGTAATTATTGCATGTAAAAACTCGAGAAACTGGTTTTCTTCATAATAATCATCATGATTAAACGTTATATTATAATTTTTTTTAAAACCATTCATTTTTAAATATCAATATCTAATAACTAAATTTCTTTTAGTAAACATCCACTGGAAAATAACAAAATGGACCCTAACTCACAACTGAAACTTAATGTTCACAATAATTTCAAAAATTATTGGAATTATAATATCATCTCTTGTAATTAATATCATCACGTATTAACACAAAACTCTTTGTATTTACTTCTGAATACTTAAATGAGTAAACAGTGTTTTTGCAATAATAAACAACACTGTAATTTACACGCATTCCCTCTTTCCCCACAGGAAGAACAATAAATATAACTCAATAATAAAAATAATGATATGATTTTGATGTCTACTGCAATGGCAGGTCTGCATTAAACCCGCCATTTCAGATGATATGCAACATTTCCCATTTTATCACCAAAATCACGTCTAGCTACATATATAATGTGTGTGTGTAAATGTGCATGCATGTATACATTAAGAAAGATGTTAAATATATAGTAACATGGGCAAGATTTATAAATATATATATAATATATCTATTAATTTTCATTCCAGCTTTTGAGCTTCAATGCTCATGCATGGCTGGGCACAACATACAAACATTTATATGTTTATATATATATACACACACACACACACACCCACCCATATGGACAGCAAAGAGTAGAAGAAATGTATTAATTCTGGTCAGTCAAAACCGGCAAACATTCGGTAAACATGGAAACAACAATGATAAAAAAAGGCAGCTTTCAAGTTCTAAGCTAACCAGCAGAGGGAAAAGCTCAATGCAATTTCAACACACGCGAGACAAAAACGCTGCAACAACTATACATACACGTATATATATATATATATATATACACGCTTATAATCATACGTGTGGCAATCTCTGCGTATAAACAAACAAGAAGCAAACAAACACAAAAAAGGCAACACGCAACGTGCTATATAATATACATTTATATATGTATGTATAGCCATGCTGGACGGAAACAAAGTTCAGATGTCAAGAGAAAAACAAAGAGAAGTGAAGTAGAAGAGAAAGAAGAAAAAAAAAATATATATATATATAGAGAATGAGATAGATATATTGTAATAATGTGATAATAATTAAAAGGAAAGCATTGAAATTTGCACAAATGAAAACAAAAAAGAAAAAGAAAAACAAACAAACAACTCCCGCATTTCCTTTCATCCTTCATTTTCAATGATTTCCTTCTTTGTTTTCTCTTCTACTTGCTTCATCAGCAGTTTTATACCAATGGGTTGGAGCCTATCAAATTTGTTTTTCACATTTTACCAAATCTCGTAAAAGAAAAAGTTGACAACAGAGAGAATAAACACTCACGCAGAGAGATCAAGGAGCGAAGCGGTGTCGTTTCAAGATCTCGGGTTTGGGAAGAATTGCGTACCAGCCATGAAAGAGTTGAGCGGAGTGGGATATAGAGACGATGGGTCAAGAAACGCAGCGCTTGACGAAGACCCAGCTGCACCGCCGCCTCCGCCGCTGGTTGAGGCCCCGCCAATGGTGGGACTGCTGGTGGTGGGTCCGGCGGTGATGAGATTCAGCGGTTGAGGACCACCAGACGAGCTCTGATGATCACCGCCCATATAGCCACTTTCAGATCCGTGATCATAGAGAATTCCCTTGAAAACATGGCCCCCGATTTTCACAGCCGTCTGATACGCCAACTGTTCGTCGGAATCATCAATGCCACTCACTCGAACGCACCGGAACACCGCTGGAGAGCTCACTTCTGTGGGGAAATTCCCCACTTCTGACCCTAAAAACGATAACGTTTCCGGATTAGACATTAATATATGTTTTGATAAGGTTAATAACGAAGAGAAACACTATATGAGCCGTTATAATCTTTTTATTTGGGGGGTGGGTGCGGGTGGGGGTGGGAGAGGAGGAATAATAAATAGTTGCTTCTCTGTGAATCCAAGCGTCAGGATTACCAAATAACAGTATTCGTAAAAGAGAAAAAGAAAACAAACATGGAAAGAAAAGGAAAGAGAAAAGAAAAGCTGGTGAGCGAAGGTCGATTCTGTTACACGCAATCGATATGGGTGTTTTTTTTGTTTGTTTGTTTGTCTGTTTGTTTACATCTCTCTCTGTAGAATTTCCCTGAACAGGTATTGGAAGACCATAAGTTGAAGGAAAATAAGTCAATCTTTGAGACTGAGTGACTGATAGTGAGTGGGTATTACTGAGAAGAGAGGGTTTTTGCTTTGAAAGAGAGTCGAGTAGTAGTGTGCTATGTTGCAGAAAAGAGAAAAAGGAAAGAGAAGAAGAAGAAGAAGAAGAAGAAGAAAAGTGAACCTGAAGTATTAGTGAGATTTTCTCGTTGGCGTTTGGGATTATCTGCACGGAGCTGCAGCTGTTGCTCTTCTTGTTGTTGCAAAGCAGCGAGCTGTTGTTGCCTTTCCCGGCGCTTAGAAGCAGGAACCCAAGTGCTCTTAATATGAGTGTGACAATCAAATCCTCGGCTCTTGCAGCAAGTTCTGCAACGCATGTGCAAGCAGTCTTTCTTTGCTTGGTTGCCGCAGTCTTGGCAGCTCATCCCGCCGCTTCCCCCTCCCCCGCTTCTCATCATCATGAAAGCGGATCTCGACGACGACTCGTCAGATACGTTGATTGAGCTCCTGCTCGGCCCAACCCCTAGCCCAGCTGCTGACGAGTAAAGATCTTGCTGCTGGTGTGGGTTGTGGCGGTTGTGTATGAATTCCTGCTGCTGCTGCTGCCATAGCTCGAAACCCTTGTAGGAGGAGATTTCGTCATTTTTGTACCAAAACCAAGCTTCCGGCGGAATTTCAGTAGGTGGGTTATTTTGATTTTGCTCTCCTTGGTTTCCTCTCCCCCCTAATGAGAAAAACCCAGCCATTGCTCCTCCTTTAAACCTAACCCTGAACCCAATTGTGACAGAAAATCCATATCAGATACTCACTCACCTCTTTAATCAACTTCTTTAACCCAATTATCATCAAATGGGTACGATTAGTTCCTTATTAATTAATCCTCACTAACCCCCCCTTCCCTCTCTCTCTCTCTCTCTCTCTCTCTCTCTCTCTCTCTCTCTTTCTCCTCTTCTCTCTCTCTTCTGGGTACTTGACGAAGATAAGAGAAAGCGGCAACAGGCAAAGTCCCGTGTCAAATCTCTTTTGTATTTTTCTGGGAATTCTTCTTTGTTGTTTTCTTGTGACTACCTATTTGTCTCTCTCTCTCTCTCTCTCTCTCGCTCTTAATCTCAGAAACTCGAAAGAAAGAAGTAATGAAGGACTGAGAGTGAAGACTGATTAATTTGGTGTTGGTATGGTAATTGCCCAAAAAGCCTGGTTTGGATTAGGGACACACGTCCTTCCCTTTGAGGACTCTGCAGCGCTAATCCCGCTTTCAATTCTCTCCTCCTTCTCCCTCCTCCCTTCTCTCTATCTCTCTCTCCTCTGAACAATATAGCTGTTGTCATTTATTTAACACTCCCCCAGAAGAATTACAGCTCTCTCTCTCTCTCTCTTTCTCTTCATCTCTGCAACGCCGCCATAACCTCTGTCTCTCTCCTCTGCTCTGCTCCCTCTAATTTAAGTCTCCCTTCTTCAACTACTCTCTCTCTCTCTCTCTCTCTCTGATCTGTTGCAGGTGTTTTATTATTACACTTTTTTTTTTTTTTTTTTTTTTTTTTTCTATATCTGAGCAACGCCCTTCTTGTGTCTGTAGAACAAAGACAAGCTTTCTCTCTTTCTCCTCTCTCGGTTGGCCGTGGATCATCATCATCATCATTCATCATCCTTTCCTGATCTCTTCCCACTCTTTTCTCATCCAACGGTCATAAGTCATCCACGTGTCATCCCCTCCTCCCTCGTCCTTCGTAACCATAAACCCGGTTAATTACCCACTAATTACCCCACCCTTAACCTTTGTCCTGCTCCGAGTCGTAGCTGTAACCCACGTCCTCGTCCACTGTGATCAGGCCACCTGTCTGCATGGAGGACATCTTCGTCATTTGAAATCGTTAAAACGCCATGCAAATTGCGTTTTGTTTTGTAGTGGGATTAATTAAATTAATTAGGTGAGTGAGATTTGGGCAGTGAAAAAGAGGCGTATATTTATCGAAGTCTTAAAAAATAATCATGTCATGTTACTCTCAGTATACGTTGTGGTAATAGAAGGGAACACAGCGCCACCTCCTCGTACTTTTTCATTTTCTTCCTTTTTATTGTCATTTCAAATTTTTAAATAATTTTAATTTAATGTGGTACTGTGTACAATATGAGACGATTGAAACATTTATTATTATATAAATAAATAATTTAATTAATTAACGTTGATATATTTTTCAAATATTGGAACTTTTCGGGGACCATTTTGTTATTTTCTTAAATGATGTGCACGGTGAGAATAAATAAATAAATAAATAAATAAACTAAAGGGTCGTTGACTAGAATAGTGGTGGAGTAGCTTTGACAATTCACGAGTGGATGGATACCATAATAATAATAACAAATAATACATACATACATACATACATACATATATGTATGTATGTTTATGCAAATACTAGAATGAATGATGACGGACGATGATAAATACAGTTAGGGACCCCCGGGCATGAGCCCTATTGACAGGGATTGCTGTCCGTACATTTATCCCTCTCTTTTTTTTATTCATGTAATTTTTATACGTTATTTTTTTATTGAATTAATATCTTAAATTAACAATGTATTTGTGATTTATAATAATAATTATATATGTTTACTTATTAAAAAAAAACAATTAAATTAAATATACAAAAATCCGTTAGATTGTATTTTTAATACATGTTATAATCTAAAAATCATAATTAATGTATATATAAATATATTTTTATTAAAAAAAAAAACAATAACAATTACATATATAAAATAATTAATCACATTATTCCTGTCTCGAACCGTGGAATAAACTTCCCAGAGTTTGTGTTTTTGATTGTTACCAGACAATCATTCTGGAAGGAAAATTACTCGCGTATCACACGACATGTGCGCGGGACACCAGTGACTCTCCCTTCACACCATCAAATTATTTATTAACTAATTTCCAAATCATCTGAAATTCCACGTCACATAATGGGACCCACATTTTCAATTGGGTCACGTGCTGACATGTCAACATTCTTCGTGAACACCACAAGTGCAAACCCATATTCTTCACAAACCTTACCTTCCATATCCTACATACATACATATACATACCTTCTTATCAGTGTATACACGCACGTCCAGTACATAGAAATTTAGTGAAATTCATTTATTAATTGACAATTATTATTATTTTTTAATTATGACCCAATAATATGTATATATATATTTACACGAACCCCAATTAATTTTAAATAAATATATTATTTCTCATTTAATTTAATTATTGTCACTAAATTTTGAATAATTATAACAGACTATATTGTGTTTGATGGATTATCCACCACTCAAACCAAATTTTTTTCTTTTTTTTTTTTTTTTTCTGGGTTGGCATCCACAAATCATCCACTAACTTATCACGAGTGAGAGACTGAACTTGCTTTGAAAAATATCTACTTAATTATTTGGATTCTTGCGTGAGACTAAACATGTGACTGAATACATGCATGCATGTACGTACATATACATACATCTATATATACATATATATATATATATATATGCATATATAGGTCACATGAAAGCTGGATCCTTGATTTAGCTTATTTGATCCTCAATGCATGCCTTTCTAGTTTTGTGGGAGCTGACCCCTTCCATTATATACGTAGTTCCTTAATCTACGATGGATACATATATAGATAGATTAATGATGTCTTTATTTTTAACCAAATAAATTTGCCGTGTTAAAAATAAAGATAATTAGATGAATTTTATATTAGAAAAACTTAAATTGATAAGTTAATTAATGTACATAAATAATTAATTTATAGTTTGGCATGGACCGGAGAAAATAATGGGAGGAGGAGCTGGACCAGTAACGGTTATATCACTCGTGAACAACAACAAATAAAAATGAATGAAAACGACTTCGTTTTGAATATATATATATATATATATATATATATAAAAGGAGCCCGTGAGAGCTGCCAAAATTTAATGTGCATGGAAGAGAAGAGGGGCAACCTGCGTTGTACGGTCACACTTTGTTTTGGGAGACATAACTCTGGGGTGGCGAGGCACATATTGTTCGTAAAAATTCCATCCAATCAGACTACGCCGCGTCAGCAGTTTATGCAGGGGTCTTTTCGTCATTTCAGTAGGAAATCAAATGACCAAATTGGCCCCACCAGCACAACCAGACGGACAAAGCTGGTTGGGTTCGTGGGCGTACAAAGTCGCACATCCATTTTGGTCTTGTCCGTTTCCAGTCAAGATCTTGCCTTCCACCTAACTAGCAGTTTGCTAATTTCGCTACAAGCCAATTCTATTTTATAATTAATTCTTAAAAAAAAAAAAAAAAATACGTAAACGTGAAAATTATGGACCACATGCACCACTATGATCATCTCATTATAAATCATAACCTTATATATATATATATATATATATATATATATATACATACTGGATTAAGTTACAGTTTCAGCACTATAATTTAATTTAACTAATTGCAGTTGAATCTCTGTAATCTTTTAGGTATAAACATATAATAACAAAACATCAATTATATATAAACAAACTGCTAATAAAATATGTATATATATATAGTATTGTTAATGTATGTAATAGTGTAGCTATCTACTGTACAAGGGTCAGCTCTTATGTATTTTGGGACCTCTCAATTATTTTTGATGGGATGTGTATGCATATATTTATTTATAAAACAATTAATAAGGATATGTGTATAACTATACATATATATATATATATGTATGTAATAGTTAGAACAATTAATAAGGATATGTGTATACCTATACATATATATATATATGTATATGTGCTTTTATCTTAACAATTAACGGGTTTTATTGTTAAAATAAAATTGTAAATACAATATGCTAATGTGAAAATTTTGGTTTCTTAAAGTTACCTGAAAAATAAATTTGAAGTAGGAAAATTTTATTAAAAAAAAGTACGTTTAGATATACGGCACATTTTAATGTAATTGTGTTATGATATTCATCACCGAATCTCGTAAACAAATTAATAATTCTAATAAAATATATAACAATATATATATTTTTATTTATAAATAAAATATTAATTTATTATTAATTTTTTTTTTTATATAGTTACCATAATTTCATCAACTCCTTAAATATATTTAACAGAGTTTAAACTTATTACCTTTATAAATATCGCAAATATCTTAATCACTAACCTACCAAATTACTCTTCACCTTTATATGTAAAAACTCAAACCATTAGTTGGTAAAAGTTAAGAACTTGTCAAGTAGTCATCACTCAAACAAAAGTTTTCTATCATAATTAAGTTATTAAATTAAATCAAAAATAAACTATATTTATGTTAAGTATTAATTAATATTTACAAATAAATATAACAGGACGATATTTAGCATTTAAAAATATATTGACCGTAACTCTTATAATATAATTTTTTAATTAAAAATATAAATTTGAATCATATTATATTTATGTTTGAACAATGGTTGTGATTTAGTAAAACCTAACTCAAAAAGGGAGTAAAGAGAAATTCAAAGGTCATGTTATCATCATATATTTTCTTCTTTTTTTTTTGCCTTTAAATATATATATATATATTTGAATTGAATGACATTTCCCCTGTAATATCTTTTTTGCCAATGTGAAGAAGGGAAGCAAACAAAAAGTTACAAATATTCATGGGTTCAAAAAAGAAAAGGAAAAGAGAAAAGACATATATATGTATATATATATATATATATATAGACATATACACACATGTATGCATATATTATTTGTAACTTTTATTACTAACATCAATCAAGTAAAAGAAAGAAAGAAAGTGCCTTTATTTCTGTGATGAGATTCTATTTGTTGTGTATTAGGATTGGATGGGAGATCACTTAGCCCTAAACAAAAAAACTAGTGATTTCTACTTTGTTACCATTAGAGTATAAGTACACAATTTGAATTTGATAATTGAAATAAACCCTTTAGTTTATTATAATTAAGTTAATTTAATCTTATTAATACTAATAAATTAGTAAATTCAATCCTCAGTTTTATAAAATTTAAATTTATAAATTTTAAATAAAATAAAAAATATATATAATATTATTATTGTATAATAAAAATAATAAATTTAAGTTGCAATAAGTAAATATATATATTAAGTAAAATGATACTTCGTATGAAAATAGGTTTTCTGTTTTGTCGCTTTCCTTAAAAGAGAGAGATATATATATATATTCTAAATAGGAGTTTGGTATTTTCGAATTACTAAATTAACCTCGTATTTTCCTTGTTAAGTCGTCGTTGTCAACTTTTGGAAATTACAGCTGGAGATCAATTCAATTTTTATTTATTTATTTATTTAAAAAAAAAAAAAACTTCACAAGTAATTTTAGGTAGATTCTGTGCGATTCAGTTGTATCGTAGCATTGGATAATAGGGGTACCCCAAGAATTTTTTTAAGGATGTCATAATGATTATTTTCTTAAATTTAATATTCTAATTATCAAAATTTTGCACTTATTACAAATCAATAATTAATATTTTTGTCTTTATAATATATTTTATTCATTTAAAAGTATATTTTGTAACGAATTAAAACTATAAAAAAAATAAATTATAAATTAAATACAGAAGCGAAATAATAACATTTGAATTTACATTCATTACATAATAATTCAGAATATATAATAGGATTATGAGAATAAACATTCTAAAAGAATAACGAAAAATCAAAGAAATAAATGAAAAATAAACAATTGAACATTCTATTCGCAACTCTCTTGTGGATCGGGATCTGAATTTTAGTTCTCTTGATCTGAAATGGTTAATAAAATAGTAAATTACATTAATCTAGTAAAAATATCGCACTACCCACCGATACAGAAATGAAAGTTGGTAAAAATCATAAAAAGAACTAATAGAACTGTTAATTTAAGTAAATCTATTTATCATAAATAAAATCATTTATTGTACATTTACCGTAGCAAAATTTTAAAAACTAACATATAGAGACAATAATACAACAATATCATAATTTCATATTCAATTAATCAAAACAACAACTTCTCCTTTTAACATGCCTACTGGTATCCATGATGGTGCATAAGGATGTCCCCATTATGTGTGAACCCTTATTCAACACGGTCAATTAACTTACCGTCCCCATATCTCGTCCAATATGAGCGCCAAAAATACCATCCCTCAATACCCCGTCCGGTATGAGGGTGAAACGGGCCGTTCCCATATCTCATCCGGTATGAGTGCCAAAATACCAACTCTTGATACCCCGTCCGTTATGATGCAACATTTACGATAGGGTTCCTAATGTACCCGGTTCATCCACCATCTCTTAAGATATCCAGTAAGGTTACCATTCATTCACTTACTTAATCAAATAATTTTTTGTTTATATTTAATTTCCAGTTTCACAATTTAACTGTATATCACGCGAAACAAGCAATGTATGCATCAAGGAAACATAATTGAATCATCATACCAACTTCAGTGTAATATTATGTATTTAAAACAGTAAAATTAATCAAATAAGATCAATAGTGAATAATAATCGGTTCTATATCTATTAATAACCTGTGATTAATTATCGAGTTCTTCTAAATTATACAAAATACCACATTATTTATAATTAAACTTCAATTCCATAACAAGAAATAGGGTGAGAGATTCTGACCCGAATCGGTGTCGTAACGCAGAACTTTCAGTTGTGCCTATTGGTGGTCCCCGGGTTCCCTAAATTTTTATTCGGAGATTAAAACACGCTCTAAGTATCGAAAAATACCCTAAAAACCCAAATCGGTGTTAAAACCCTCTTCCAGCCAATTTCAAAATTCCAGCACAGCGGCACCGCAGCCCGCGGCGGCGGTTTGCCTTAGGCTGGCCATTTTTGACTAGTTTCAGCTGGTTTTGTACT